TACTCGTCCGAGGTAACTTTATCTATACTCATCCCTTCCACATTTATCCGCCAGTTCATCATTCACTTCACTAGTCATTCTCGCCAGTTCTCTGTAATAGCTGGTACCACGTGAGCAAATTTATATAACTTCTTTCTTCCAGTAAAATGAGCTGTCAAGTATCTCCCAATCAATCCTCATTAAATGCCCAGTCACAACGTCAGATTTTCCGGGAATGTTTCCCCATTAAAACCTTCATGATCCACTCTATCTTTTTATCTTGGAGTTTTAGCTTTTTCATTTTCCACTTGTAAACAATTTATAAAACCAACCTTTTGACAGTATGCAAGTCAATATAATCTGACGTTGAGCTCTTTTGTAAATAATCTTATAAGGTCCAACTTAGATTGGATCAAACGCCGGTGTGTACTCTTTCTATGTATTTCTAAATCGTCAACAGCTGGTTTTACTCCCCGGACATTTTCATTATGCAAACTTGCTCTGTTGTTTTACTCATGCTTACGTAGCACGTTCTCGTGAAGGTAGGTACATCTTTTCTTCACCGATGCATCCCATCTTGAGGGAGCTATGTGTAATTCGCCTTTACAAGTTCGAAGATTTAGGGGACCGAGTATTTGGAAGTGAGCAGCAGGTTTTTGGTTAACTATGTGATCTATTACATGATTCTATATAATAAAAACAGTAATGTGATGCATCGTAAGGGGCTGTTCGATCTAACTAGCCNNNNTATCAATCATCGTCTTTCGTTCATAGCAGAATAATATCTTTGGGAATCATTCGTACATCAAGAATACTAAGATGCGCGCATATCGGCAGCGTAGAACCCGGTAGATAACAACTGTCTTGGTATGGTTCACGTTAACGTATAAAAATATTGTTTACAACCATTTTTTATCAATAAATTCCTGCGAAGTGTGGTGCGCGTTTCAAGCGCCAACCCAGTAAGCTATTCTTTTGAACATTATTCATGACACATGAGTTTTAGATGATCTCTCGTAGATACAAGTGTTATCTTCAGCTCAGTCGGATGCACTATTGGCATCATAGAGGTGCTGTATCTGACGCAAACAATAGAACTGTCTATTCTTCATCTTACTCAGCAATTTTGCTGCATCGTGTGTGGACACCGCACACAATGTATACTGTTAAGTTGATGGGTTTTGGCCGCCGTTGCAGAGGTACGGCGAAGTTACCACATTAATTCGATCAAACTAGGAACTGAATGAAATGCTCCGGTCCTACCAACTCCGCTGGCCTCCAAATACCCGCTCTCGAGCACGTTTTTGTTGGGGAATCGAGAGGGCCGGTGCCCGAGTTCGACAAAAGCTTTGATAAATGGAATCCAACTTGTTTCAACTCATCCATCGGTAGGGATGTTCGAAAAAGAGGTTAAGGTTTGAGCAGCGACATCGTGTTTCTACAGGATCTGCTTTGTTACCGACACCTACCATTTCTTTTCAGAATACATTCCACTTCCTCATCTTTTCTGAACAGCGGTTATTCTGATCACAATAACAATGTTTTCACGATTATTCAAAAGATATTAGAAGCGTAACATAAAAGCAGCTATAGTTTAAACAAAAGACTTAATTCCTTCAGGTGTGTTTGTTGGTGCCAAGGTTGATAAGGAGAATGATTCATATGCTGTTTCTGAGACCGAGGGTAAGCCTATTCCTTTCATTTCAATTTTTACCCTATTGACCTATGTTTTAAATTCTCCTGGCGAATCCACAGAAGACTGGCGGATTTACTCCGCAATGGTGCTCTCAGCATCAATCACCCTTCGCAGTCAGCAGTATCTTTTCAGCCTTTCCACAACCAAGTGCAAACTGCAAAGTAGAACAATAATGTCTACCCAAAACATTATTGAGCCTGTCGCCTTCCCTCAAACGTGCTTATCGCTCTGCTTTCCAAACACTCAGAGCTACGGGTGATAGTTGAATGTCATTTGAGGACCAAGACGTGGGTATCATTCTCAGCCACGGTTAGCAATTATCATGTTATTAACATGGGGCACAAATTCTGGAACAGACAGATAGTTGAAATAGTTTTTCTTGCGTTTCCTTTTTGTAATTCAGAGTGATTATTAGGCTCTAAATTTACTACAAAATTTGATGTTTGAATGAGAACAGTCAAATAAAGAAATCCAGACACGTTGATATTGTTATCTACGAAATACCTGCTATACAGCTTTTTTCTCTGTACTGAGTTTTCCTTTCCTCCCATCTGACCGATGGTAAATGAATCAGGCACACCTGTGAGGGCACAACTACATCCGAGCTCGGTTAAGAAGTCACCGATCGGTTAACATACTTCAAAGCGGAACACGTGAGAACCTATTGACCTGTCTACCTTGCAAGGGCTTTCCAAGTTAAATTGAGGACAAAAAAGCTAATGTTAAGCGTAGATTCATTTTATGTCTGCCACTTAAAACTGAGAAAAAGGATTTTTGTCTGTCATTATTAAACCAACTTATTGATTTCATTTCTCACCATCGATTCACACAAATGCTCCCTTTGGTATTGGTCTCCCTTTTCTTTACAATCGCTACTTTGGTAACAGAATGAACAACGAGACCGTTGCAAGTTATGGATAATGGTAAATGATCGGGTCCCTAAAAATCTAATCACACAAACGTATATTCTGGTTCAAACACTTCATGGTCTGTTGTTGGTTCATTTCACATTTTTCTCTACTGATCCAGCAATTGCACAATCAATCTTCAGGAAGGAAAGACCGCCAAAAATATGAAAAGAAAAAAGATATAAATTGCTTGACCCTTGTGGACCTCTTGATTTCTGACCAACTTGGTTACCCAGCGTAAAAACTAAAGCATCATTGAAATCACTCAAGAAAAGATTGGTTGTGCGTTGTCCTGATTCCCTTCCGCTCTTCTTTATATACTACGAAAAGTTACAGCTGTTAAGTCTGATATTTGACGCTTAACCGATCAGATCTGATTCACCAACTGTCCCAAGTGCCAACTTAACGTTTAAAATCGTATTTATTCAGAGATTACAAACAATCGCACAAAATCGAAAACAAAAGTAACTTTTCCCGCCAGAGTTTGATCGCATAAACGTTAGTATTTGCTGCTGCAGTGGCTTGTGACATATGCAGCGCGCCCCACTGCCCAAATCAAGGGAACCAAAATTGTCGCCCTTTTGTGCATTTTATTAGACAATTCAATATCAGGCTTGTGCTCGACACATATCCGTATACATCAAACTATCCGCTAGCATTGCTTAATTATCTTGTAACCAATCACAGCGTAATCAAAAAAGAACATCGTGTAGGTTTGAATGAGGCAGCAGTTTCTTGATTCCCTCCATGATGTAAATGTTGCTCATATTCAGTGTTCCAAAATGCATACTGATTAAAAAAGATGACTCGACATGGTAAAACGACTATTGGACAACACTTGCCGTAAATGTTTTTCAGATAATAAATCTTCCCTGATGGACTAAAGGAACAGGGATTCAACCATGGTTCTACATTATCAGTTTTCAATTTGCATAACCTAGCAATTTTGCGAGCTGTTTCTGATTGCTGCTTTTCAGTTACTCGTTCGATCGTGTAATGAATAAAATATATTGAGGTGCAGGTATATCATCAAGAGAGCACTGGCAAGATGCAGAAATCTTATAAACTGAGTAGAGATTTTCATATCTTCATCTCAGGCCCTTGTCAGACTATTCTTGACCTACTAGGGGTAAACATCGCACGTTAGAGAATTCCCTCTGGTGACATGCAAACAGGTGCCTCAGTCAAAGTAAGGTATGAATTTTAAGCACTGACGTTAGTGTGTAATCACCGCCAAGTTTTGCCAAAATTCGGAATCGTCCGGTCGTTCCGCCAGACTAAGGCAGGAGGCATAGACAATGCTGTTTAAACGTTGGTAGTCTTTGTTTATTATCGTCCAATAATAGTCATATCTCTTCACCATACGACTGGACATCTAAAGCTCTATGCTCTACCCTCCATAGGCAGTTGGATGTCACACAGTGGTGCCAAAGATTTCTCCAGTAGTTTGACATCATTTCATTTCTAACATTTCGGTGTATTACAAACCTAAATCAGTTTAAACGCCGAGTATTTGCAAGAAGTATATATATATAGTAATAAAGTCAGAGCTTACATTGGGAAATTCAAATTTTCTATATTACTAGATCTATGGTTTGCTTTCACCGAGCCTGATACTTTAGGTTTCCGAAGGGGTATGAAGGTGAATTCTAACTAGATAAATGCTTTTCAGTGATGGAGTTTCAGAACGGCAATACTAAACTACTTACTCTTCTACCATTGTCTCTCTCTCTCTTTCTGTCGTTTCCCCCAATTTATCCAGTAAAACCGGGTGCCCCTTTAGGTAATATAAAATTCAGTCACGAATTACTCCATGTGTTTTGTTACCATAACTGGGGACTTTGACTAACTTCAATATTTGTGCACGGTTACGGAACACATGGGGGCAAATGAAAAAAACGGTAGACGTTTTTCACGCAATATCCTCAACTTGCCTTTCGATATTGATTTGTCAGTCACTTTAGGTTTAGTCCTCCTGTCTCTCACTTATCTCCGTTGCTTTCTCGGGTTTATTTAAAACTGAATTTTTCGTTCCGTTATTCTGTATCTCGCACCCTAGTAACGGAACATTTCTAATCACATGACACTTGGATCTGTTGGTTAGGTTTGAGTTCAGTCGTTCACTATATCTAATAGAATTCAATAACCGTAACCCAGTATTGTTTATCCACCCCTGAAATTAGAGCAGCTAATTCTTCAATGTTTTAAAATCTGTGGGCTGATAAGTACTGAATTTGAGATTTTTTTAAGTCCAATAGAATATTTTCTCTATTTAAATTGTTGGATTTACGAACTACATTGTACCACAATCACTTGAGAAAGCGAGTATTCAACTGATCAGCACTGAAACCACTTATCCTTCTTTTACCTTTCTGTCTGTCTCTCGCAAACCTGCTTGCCGGAATTCTCCCGTACAGTCTGCAGTTCCCGGCCTGCTTCTGATTACCACCGATTCTCTGATGTTCACTCCGAATGGCGGGGAACATGTTGATGATGATCAATTGCATCTATTGCTACCCCTATCACAACTCCGGTCTATTGCGGCCTATGCGGACCATTCAGTCATGTACTTTACCAAGCGTGATCCGTAAGTTTCTCCTCGTTATTCAGCGTGTTCGGGAACCGGGCTTGCAACCACACCCAATGGACCAGGATTTCGTTACACGATGAACAGTTGTTTATACATGATAAAAATGAAAAAATAAATCTCGTGTTTCACTAATGTATTACACAAGGAAACATTGTCAGAACCCATGCGATGCCGCTTTGTTTGAATGTTCGGTAGATTGAGGAGGAAAAGATCTGTTTGAGGAAAGTATGTTCCACAACGTAGAAGTTGAGTTGGCAGTCCAGAAAAACGCACGATGAAGACGAAACTCTCCCTATCACGCCGTGGCTGAAGGTTTTGCGAACATATATGATGTAGAGACAAAATGTAAATGACTTGATCATCTGCCCGAGGGTCAAGTGATGAGTGTGTTCACATTCCTTTTTGAGGTCCCCAGTTCGATTTTCAGTTGACTAGTTGGGAGATCTATGTAGGTCGAAAGAGCTGTACACTGCTCACTGTTTTTTTCAGTTCACTCCTAAGTTACTGTGGACGACGAAATCTATTAAACCATCAAATCAAATCCTCCACTCTTGTCATACACATTTTTGTGTCTGTTTTAATACCATGAGATTTGACAGTAAACAGTTGTGACTAGTACATCCCCCCGCACACAGCAAGCCCAAACTGACCATCCATTTGTAGTTGTGTTTTTGTGTCACAGATTCTCTAAATCATGTGTCTTCTTCGTGAATTGACGGGTCTTTAACTTTTCCCACAATATTTCTCCCTGTATAGCCTTCGTTTCCCTTCTACAGCCGACTTCTTATCACTCCCATTCCAAGCATATATAAGTATAGCTTCGTGCATCTCCTTCAACCAAACTCCGCTTCTCAATTATCCTTGAGTAAGAAGAAGATTCAGACAAACACAAACACAAGCAGAAGAATTCAAGCCTTTACAGGCATATGCACATTAAGACATTCAATACTGGTATTAAACTGTGAACAGAAATGGCGTATGTCAGTCTGAGTTCGAAATGAGCGTTCTGATACATTATTTCGACTCACGGATTTTGTGAATTCAATACGGTCGTACGTGTGCGTGTGTTTTNTTTCACCTATTTTTTTTGTACGTTTGTATGTATCCTGGCTTCCCGATCCTATGTACAAACATCAAATTTCCGAGGCGATAGATTGCGGGTTCGATAAGCGGTTAACTGATTGAGCATTGTCGCTCTCTGATGATAGCACAATGAGTACAGTTATCAGTTTGTCCATTCTCTCTCCGTGTTCATGCATTCGTGTACGTCTAAAGTACATCGAAGAGACTGTCACTAAGTAGTGCGCTTATTATTTTTTCCCTTTGATCGTTAATCCTCGTGTTCTGCCCTACTGGAATTCCCTTTTACCGGTTAAAGTTTGTTTTTAATGTTTGTGCATATAGTGCAATTATTCAATATTAGGACCCCAATGGTGTCAAACTCAGATATTTTAAACCAGTTTTTTTTTGAATAATTGTCTGTGACTCTGCCTTTCAAATTTATGCCTAGCATCACGTTCCATGGATCACTATTCCGACACGAGCCTGTCACACGAGAGCTAGGTGATGTTCCCGACAGAATTTTGTCGGCTGTTTCGGTCTCTTTTTCTGTATGATTTAATTTCCCCAACCCACTCTGTCATCAGTCTGATTATTTCATTATTGCTCATAGAAATGATCACATTTCAGCTTTTCTCCGACTAGAAAATCAACTCGTTTGTTTCTTTTTGTTTCAATCTACGATAAAGGGAAACGAGAAAATTAGTCTTAAGTAAGCAGAAGACTGAACGTGTGTCGCAATATCACGAATGCAGTCGTCCAAATTGAAAACGCTGCATTGATTTTTAGATGTAAGCACTAGCAGTTAGTGGTCTGTTCCATTCTGAAATAAAACACAAAGAAAAAACAAAAATTTGAAACTCATCATGGATGTGGAACCACAAATCTGATATATTTTATCTATTATTATTATTCGGTATACAGTGTTTTTTCTCCATCCTAATAGTGAAACCAATTGATTGAAACCGATTCAGGTTTGGAATTCTGTGATAGTACGCCAGTGCAGGTTTAACATTCGATAGAGATCGATGGGGGGCAGGAGTCTAGTCACACCTTTCCATGGCCAACCAGGACAATTGGTTTTGTGCCACCACGATACGAATGTTCGATCCAAAGTCGGACAAATGCGTGAATCTTTGTGCATTTCAAGACTATATTTATCCACTCTCAGTACCGTTCCATTGGCCTTACTTCAAAAATGATAAAACAATACCACCTCTTAACAGTTTAATGTTACCTTGTGGAACAATCTCTGAGTTGCTGCTCTGGAGCAATCAGGACGCATTCAATTATCATCACTAGATAGAGAAAGCGTGTTGTTTGTCTGGAACTGACCATTAGAAATAACTCGTTATCTTGTTTCAACATACCATAGTTTTTCACTGTAAAAACAAAACGGACAACAAAATCGATTACCATTCAAATCAGATCCGATGGCCTTTACCGAGTTAAAGAGTTTGCGGGGTTAGCGTGAATTACTCTCAACCAAATTTAAAACAATTTATTCACCTAATCGCACCGATAAAAGAAACATTCGAGTTTTGGGTGAAATATAACTGTAATCTGTGCCGAGCGGTCAGTTCACTGCGTCAATTGTTTGACTACTCAGTTCATTACTTCAAATCGAAAAAAAACATATTACTGTACTCTGTTATTGCTTGTTATTGCTTCGGCTTAGTGCCCAACGATTTACTACTCCGAACATCGAACTCGGGCATCACAGGCAGAACACAAGTCTGATTGATACACATGGGACCTACTGGGGATAACAAAAGTGAGTTGATAACAATAATTTGATGTCCCCAAATAGATCGAAGACATATTCTTTGGATCATCAAGTTGGATTGCTTTTCAAAATAACAGGATACCTACTCGTGAATACGGGCATTGCGAATTATTTATTTCCAAAATAATCGACAATTGCGCGATAAATGCTCCAGGTTTATAGTTAAACATTGTTCAGCAGAGCGGTTCGATTCGTTCTCACAGTGACTACGACAGTGAATCTGAGTCAATTATCAATGTTCTCGAAACAGCACTAGGTGATTAATTTCTCACGATAATCCGGTTATTCCTATCCCCACATGGGGTTTTACCGGTGGTTGTTTTCCTGCGGTGATCTGCTTCCCAAAGGAAGTGGAAAACGCTGGAAATGAGTGATCACTAGGCAAGCCCTACTACGGTAATCCCTTGTCTTTAGATTCTCTTATAATTTGATCTTATTGAAGCCTTTTGCTGATGTGGTTCATCGTAATTTAAACCATCTTTCAACCTTTAACTGCTTTATATCCGACAAATTAGGTGGCCTATACTGTCCAAACCACTCTTCATTTGCTTTTAGATACTAATCGGTTCCCACTCGGACAAATCTGATTTCTTGGAGCTATTATTAACACAAGACACGAACAGAGATTGACACTGGGTTTGAAAACCCGCTTGAGATCATGTATTAGATAGATAAAATTGACCAATGTGTTCAACTAGCCAAAGAAAAAATACGACTCCTTTTCCCTCCTTGATATAGTCCAAATGTTGACATTAGTTTCGACAGCTGGATGAAGTTGCATCCCGAACGAACCTATTTAACTGATTTAGACAACTGTGCATTAATTTTTTTCCGATCTTCCTAATCATACTTCTACCTATGAATACGGTGGAAAAATACTTACAGAATGGCAGCCATTGTCTCAATTTAAGGTAATTAATCATGTTTGGTGGACAGGGCATGTGTCTTGTGAGTGGAGGAACGTTTACAGTGTGTCAGTTGATATGACCTCTCGGTTCTCCTTTGTCGACCCCAATTTATTCCATCAGACAATTTATCTATCGTATTGCCGGACTTTGACAGTGGGAAGCAGTGATCGACTAAATTTGAGTGTGGAGATAAACTCACCCGAAAAAAACATAACTGAGACTGCATACTTAGAAGCATCCATTGTGCACTTCCTGGCTAGCACAGCAGTAGTCCATCCGGGGTCGGNNNCAAGCGGAACGCCAGTGTGCTGCACACTTGACTATCAGACATACAATTATTTTTTCGAAGTTTATCATGAGCTAGCTCTCTTCCACCTCATGAGATTCGACCCGCAAATTGTTTATTTCTCCTGTTTGTGTTCTGTTTGTGTCCTGCGGAAAATTTCCTATTCTCGCACAGCCAATATAAATCCAAACTACGCCGTCATCAGACCGATCTGGATATTGGTCGACCCACCGCACCCAACCCCATAAAAATGAAAACAGAGAAATCTGAGCCAGCTTTGTTATTGGGCGAGAAGGCGGAAGACCCGCACTCAATGATTTCTTCCATGGCTAACACTGAAAACCCACCAGCTGGGCAAACAGCCACACCAACTAATACACCGACTGTTCCGACAACCAGAGTGGACGACAGTTTGACGGTCTCGACGCACTCAGTCACCTTCAGTGATCATCTGTTGCCCAGCCCGGTACTCTCTCAGAAGAGCAAATCAACCGAATTTACTCTATCCAATGACTGCTTGACACGACCTGGCAAACCCGCCTACTCTCTACGGGATTCAGAACAACCAGGTGAATTTCGCTCTTTGCTCATCTGTTTGTTCCTAGCGCACTATTTCTTTGGCATTCAGTACCATCCACTAAGACAATAATGTTCGATGTGTTTTAGTTTTTTAATGGATACAAACAAATGCTGGCCTCTTCCTTGTTTCATTTCTCCTAAGTGTTATAGCCATCGTGAGTCGACTTCGGGAGTAACAATAATTATGGATCATTCGACAATTTATCGCATGAAAAATGTTCACATGCACTTAAAGGTACATATATAACTTCGTCGTGTACACATCAAATGAAATGTGAAAGTTAAACACTGGACATCTGTTTCAATCCGGTCGCATCTCATCAGCATTACGAGTCCATCGACTTATCTGGGAGGTCGAACTCGGGACAAACAGTCAGGTTCGGAATGTTTCCAACCCTGGAGGCTATTGCTAGGATGAGTGATGTGTGATACACGCAACAAGTATGCAAAAAGGGTTTATACTATGTCGTGTCTAAGGAAGGTAAACAACGGTTGGATTGGCTGCCCGGTGGTCGAATGAATAGTACGCATGCGTTCTGACTGTGATGTCACGGGCTCGATCTCCAGTTAGGTCGATGAATTCGCATAGCTGATGATACCCAATCAGGTCTAAACAGCTGTCCAGTACCTCCATGTTTTTCAGTTCACGCCTCAATAACTCTGTGCATGACGAAATTCACCATATAATTGAATCAAATCCTCCGTTACCATCATGTAATATAAAAGTACTTTTATACGAGTCACTTGTAATGCGTACCAGATTCAAGTGTACCTTGTCTTTGTGTCGGTTTATCACTGAGACGTAGGTCATCTTTTTATTCAACGACCTTAGTATTCATTGGCTCTAGATCCCATTGTTTGTCACGCGGTGACTAATTAGGATATACACATGGACTACTACTGTGCATGCAAACATGCAAGTAGAAAAAACGTTGATCACCAATTGCTCACTAAAGTTCATTCTTCAAGTAATTTCTTTCTCATCTATACTGTAAATTCCATGTTATCTGTTCTCTCATACACATGTGTGGTTGGTGGCTGAAGCAGAACGTAACTGATCTCTGCCTGTGATATTTTGAACGGCATTACGAGGACAGCTTCATGAATGCCTGCTTTTTAATTTTACAACGCCTTGGCAAGGCAGATTTCATCTCATCTACTACAGTTCACAAATTTAGATATACTCCAAGGTAAGCGTTCGCATTCGTTCGCTCATTACCGTAAAAAAGAACCAGGGTGTTCCTAAC